AAAAAAAAAAAAAAAAAAAAAAAAAAAAAAAAAAAAAAAAAAAAAAAAAAAAAAAAAAAAGACTTATAATATAATAATTTCTTTTCTTTTCCTTTTTCGTTAGTTTCATTATGGTTTCCCTTATGCTAAATCGAAGTGACAACACAATTGCTTTCAATTATTGCATATAATTTTAATCCAAAAAGTTATCAACTTTGATCTTATGAGAAATTGTATTTAATGAGACAACCGAGTACTTGAAGGGTACATGAATAAGCTAAAAACTGTGTCTGAATATGAGCGATCTTGAAAATAGGATAACTAAGAAAGACTTGTGAAAGTTATTACCTATACCAACAAGATGCACATTCGTTTTTGGTTGCTCAATAAGATCTACAAGGTTAAACATGTTTTGGTTCAATTCTATGTTAAGTCACCTCTTGGAAATTTTCGTAAGATGGTTGTAAGTGAGAACAAAACATGCTGGAAAAAGTTGTATTGGTATGTGGGGATAGTTTTCCCTCTTAAAAACGACAAGTATGTGACTATGTTACAGGGGATGCAGGGAAATGTCGGGGCCATCAGGTGTCGAATCCTAGGCACGAGGCGTGTGGTAACACCTCATTTTCAGTGGCTCAATCATAGGAATTTCAAGGTTAAACGTGCTTTGTTTTGGAGCAATTCTAGGTTGAGTGATCTCATGTGAATTTTCTTAAGATACATGTGAGTGAGGTATTTTCTTAAGATAGTCTTAACTCTTAGAAGCAAGGAGCCAGTAATGTGGCCATGTCACAGGGGATGCAGGGAAATGTCGGGGCTATCAGGTGCAATTGAACATGGTGCATTATATTTAAACTATAAATCTTATATCAAATTGGATATCTAAATCTTGAAAGTTACTGTCCATGCCAACAAGGTGCACGTTCTTTTTCGGTGGCTCAAGGAACTTCATGGTTCCTCGTACTTCACTTGAGCAATTTTATGTTGAGAGGCCTCCTGAAAATTTTCCTAAGATGTATGGTGAGAACAAAATACACGGAAATGATTCATGTTCGTCTGTGGTGATGGTTATCACACTTAAAAAGTGAGGAGTAGGTAACATGACCATGTCGCAAGGGATGCAGGGGGCTGTTAGAGCCAACAGGTACTGAATTAAGATTCTAAATCCTGGGCATGAACCATTACAAATGGTATCAGAGCGATACCTCTACCAATAAGATGTGGTTCGGAGACCAAAGAAGAAGTTGATGGGCATGGGACACATGAATAAAATAGGGATATACGAATGAATTGTGCTCATATTTGAATGAAAGCGATCTTGAGTAACAAAGCATTATTTTTCTTAGATACCACACAAATTTGTGTGATCTCAAATTACGCCATTTTAGGATTTATTTTTCGAGCTAGTTTTATATGTATTTATAATGTATTGAGATGGATTTGATGATTTCACGATGCACCAAGCTACTATTTTTTTGACCAATAATGACTTAAAGTAATTGGTTGGCCTAAAGACCCATGCCCTTGGTGTGTATCGAGATAACATCGTGGTCAATAAAGATATAATTACAATTCTAAGTTAATGGACATAATAGAAAGAAAGAAAAAAGAAAAAAAAGTTGAACAATATAACGTGATCAATATTTGACATTTGATTTGCTCAACGTTCTTCTACATCACCTACAACATTATTATGTCACAAACTAATACAAGTCATTGTAGAATGTTTTATCCTCACTCATATGCTCGTTAGGATGATTCCGACATCTTCATAGGAGGTCACTAACTTAGAATTACTCCAAGCTAAACACATTTAACTCTTGAATTTCTATAATTGAGCCACCAAAGAAGAAATTACACAATGTTATCATCGGTGATAGCTATCAATTCATTTAAGCATTACTCAACCATCATGTCTTCAAGATCTAGAACAACCCATGTCCAAGATTTGGATAAAGATTCAAAATTCGGATTCGACACCTAATGACCCCAACATTTTCCTACGACGTAATCACGATACTTACTCCTCTCTTCTAAGAGAGAAAACTATCTGCACATACCAACCGAGTCCTCCAGCATAGTTTGTCCGTACTCACATGTATTTAATGAAAATTTCCAAGCGGTTACCAAATATAGAATTGCTTCAAGCAAAACAGTGCTAACTGTGAAGTTCTTCTTATGAAAGAGCCAACAAAAATGAAGGAATACCTTCTTTCTAGGTACTGACTTTCAATTTTTAAAAGCATTTTTTAGTTAATCTTATTTTGAGGAACACTCTCATTTTGATGTAGTCTTAGTTATTCATGTACCTTTCATTTACTCATGTTTCACAAGATCCCTCTCATTCTAATGTGGTCTCGATTCATTCATATATCATTCCTTCACTTGATCATCACAGATAAGATAGATAGAATCATGAAAGTTCAGTGCTATGGACGTAGACATACTACAAAGTCTTCTATACTACTGTATGTGTTTAATTAATGGGATCCACGCTTCATAAATTTATTTATTTTATTACAATAAACGTTGGACATAAAAATTGAAAATATGTCAATTACGATTGAATTATATTCACAAAAACGATTGGAACATTAATTTCGAGCAACTAGGGAGGAAAGAAAAAAAAAGGTTTTCTCTAATGTTACAAGCAAAGAATCCCCTTCTCTATCATATGAACAAATTAAAGGGATGGTGTTGGTATGGAGTTTCAATGATTTGGTCTGCTTTTGTTCAAACAAAATTTCAATAAAGAAGGAAAGTAGATAATTCACTAAGGACACACATCATTGGCCCACATTATTGTTCATCACATACCCTAATTTTTGCCTTGGGTGTTATTAGTATGCACGAATTTTAATCCATAATTTCACAAAGGAAATCATCCCTCCTTTTTTACCCAACATTTTAAGAGACTTTTCATTTGAGTTGGCAATAAAGTTATACAAAATATACACAAACATGTACTCGATTTCATTTAGAAATGTCACTTGTCAATAGATTTAAATTTTTTAATGAGTACTAGTGATGTCGAAATCAGCCTAAGGGAAAACTCTGATACCAAATGATATGTGGTAATCAGTTCAAGGGCTCTAATACCAAATGATAAGGAAATCAGCCCAAGGGAAAGCTTTGATACCAAATGATAAGGAAATCGGCCCAAGGGAAAGCTTTGATACCAAATGATATGATAAGGAATCACTACAAGGGGAGTAACATTTGGATTATCTTGTTGATCGAATATCTCAAGGGAAGAACACTTGTTTGAGATTCGAGTTACTCCACAAACAAGATCGATCATGTCTAGTTAGAATGATTCTTGTTGATCAAATATCTCAAGACAAGAACACTTGTTAGAGATTCGAATAACTCCACATGCAAGATTGTTCATGTCGAGCTTGAATGATTCTACATGCAACCTAAGCTACATAGAATTGCAAAGAAACTTAGTCATTGGCTAAAGAAAGCACAAATGCTTCTTTTATCTTCAAAGTCTGTTTACAAATACAACGTACATGACTTTATTTAGCTTCAAAATGAAACTATTAAAGACATTCCAAGAGTTATAATGTTCATACTTTATGGCTATAATTAACCATTACGTAAATGTAACCTAAAGTAAATAAAAAGTGGCATGAATAACCCTAAATTACTCTAAATGGTTGCCCAACCAAAATTTATAACAATGTAACTTTGTTCTTTTTCAATGTGGCATGATTGATGTCTCTTGGTTCATATCAACGAGAATCCTACGATCGTTACTATTAATATAGGAATGTGATTTTTGATAATGTAGTCTAGAAATAATGTAATGCTCATGTTTAGGATTTGAAATTTGGATTAGATGACTCTGACATTCCCTTGCGAAATGATCACGTTACCTATTCCTTGCTTCTAAGAGTGAAAACGCTTAACCATGGAGTTTCTATGATTGAGGCACCAAAAAGAAATGTGCACTTTATTGACATAGGTAGTGACTTTCAATTCTTTTAAGTCTTTCTTAGCTATTCTATCCTTATGATTGCTCTCATTTGGATGTGGTGTCGGTTTATTCATATACCCCTCCTTTATTCAGGTGCTCGTCAAGTTTCAAAATTTATATCTTTTTTTTAGTTAAATTGCCCTCTTCTTTGGTAGTCCTAAGTAATAATAATAATAAATAAATAAATAAATAAATACATAAATAAATAAATACATACATAAATAAACTCTATTCTCTAACAATTTCTACCAAATATATCAAATTTTACAATTTGACTTAAGAGTTATTTATAGGTCAATTTCTAAAAATTTGTTGATTTTTAGTTTCTCATAAGTGGTTCCTTTTGATGACCATTTGTAAATGGTTACGAGTGAATGTAGCACGCTTTATAAAATGTGATTAGTGAAATTTTCTCACTCGAGTCGAATGAAAAGTCGAGATGGCAATTAAGATTTCCAAAGCTAGAAGTTGAACTTCTTTTAGGATAGAGTTGACCCAACCACTTCTTTTAGGATAGAGTTGACCCGACCAAGTCAAGGAAAAGTTGACTCAACTAACCAATGAAAGAGTTGACCTAAACGAGTTGAAGAGTTGAGTTGACTATTAGAGTTGACCTGCCATGAGCCAAGCTGACCTCACAAGGGTGGCTCCTTACGCCAAGCATGGGTTGATGCCCCCTTGGTGACATTACCCTATCATATTACAAAGATTTCAAACATCACAAAGATCCATCGTCTACGTCATTAATAGATAACACGATTTGCAAGAGTAGATGTACCAGCATAAGCTCACCGCTAGGGGATATTGTCTTCTTTAGACTATTCTTTTTAAGGTTCCTCTCAAGATTTTTAAAACGCGTTGGTTAGGGAGAGTTTTCCACACCCTTATAAAGAATGCATCGTTCCATTCTCCAACCAATGTGGGATCTCACAATCCACCCCCTTCATGACCCATCGTCCTCTTTGGCACATTGTACTGTGCCCACCTCCCTTTTGGGGTTCAACGTCTTTGCTGGCACACCACCTAATGTCCACCCCCTTTGGGGCTCAACATTCTCACTAGCACACCACCCAGTGTCTGGCTCTGATACCATTTGTTACTAGCCAAACCCTCCACTAGCAAATATTGTCTTCCTTGGGGTTTCCCTCAAGGTTTTTAAAACACATAAGCTAGGGAGAGTTTTCACACCCTTGTAAAGATTACTTCATTCCCATCTCCAACCGATGCGGGATATCACAGGAGATGTCTGCCCAACAAGACGTGGAATTTGAACATTTTGCAGACACTCAACATTCTCTTCAATCAAACTAAACTATTCTAATAGCTAGTAAGATGACTCCACAAGGATCCTAAATTTATACATAGTAGTGACATTAACCAATTCATAATCTATTTGACTAAACAAATAATTAAGGAAATCAATATCCAAAATCAAATGAAATGCTTAGAATTGTAACCTAATCTACATAATCTCTTGAGGTTTATGTCCTAATATACTCAGATTATTCCTTAAGTTATCATTATTGTTCTTCACCATTAGCCAAAAGAATTCTAAGAGACAGCTCTATCCTATTAATTCTTTATGGATGCATAAGCATTAAAAACTACACTAAAATCATCAATCACTAATAATTATAAAAAACAAACAAAGAACATCAAAGGAAGAGGAAGAGAAATAAAGAAAATTGAAGGTCGTAGTAAAAAGAATAGATATCTTTTACCCTTTTTATCTTCATTCTCACCATTTTGATCATATCAAACTCATTCAATGGTTGAATTCTTGAGTACTCAGATGCATGAACAATGAGGTTCATAATGTGTATGAACAACCACAATAGAGGATCTAAATAAGAGAATCAAAAGAGGAAAATAGGACAAAGGAAAAAGTCTTAGTTTCAAAAGTTACTTATTAAACTTGAGAGGAAATGATTTTGAAAATGAAAAAGTGAAAACTAAAATTAATCAAATGAAAGAAAGCCTACCTAATCCTATTCAAAAGTCATGTGATTTAACATTAAAATATTGATATAACATTAAAGCTCCTATTTTCCTCCCAACTTTGGCTTGATGAGCCGAACACACTCAACAAGCCCGAGTAAAGTGTTGGGATATGGAGCCTGATGCCTAGATCTGGTAGATATATTTGGAAGATATTTCCATATATTTGGAAGATATTTTGTAAAAATATGGTAGAGATACATGGAAGATATTTAGTAAAAATCTGATAAAATATTTGATAGAGATATATAGATTATATTGGTAGGTTTAAATCTTTGGAAACTATATTTAGGCTGGGCTTCCAAAATGTACTCTTCTTCTTCCTTCTCCGTATTAATGTACTCTTCTTCTTCCTTCTCCGTATTCTATCTGGTTGTATATACCTGAAGTCATCAATAGTAAAACATTTAGCCAATATTCCTCTTTGTATTTTCTCTCTCCTGTTCTTTGTGTTCATCTTGATCGAGTGTGTGCGTTGTTGAGCGATCCTAACAATTGGTATTGAAAAGTTTGATGGATCCGATTTCAGTTTCTGGAAGTGCAGATTGAAGATTGTTTGTACCAAAAAGGTTTCACGAACCCCTGTTGGGTGTGAAGCCGGAGACCATGACCTTGTTGTTTTTTGATAATCAGCCAAAGAAATTCGGTGAGAGAAAATCGTCGACGGGAGGTTGTTAGAAGAAAAATGCTTAAAATAAAAGAGAGAGAATGATGAAATTTTGACTGGGTTTAAAAATGAGGTGGCCAACTAAATTTGTGTCACTCCCTACAAAATTTCCGTCTAAAACTCTGGTGATCCATTCGACGTGTTTTGTTAAATGGTCAAACGGAGGTATTCTGAAATCGTGTGAATCTAAATAAGGAACAACTAAAAAAACGCAGGTTTTATCTAACAATCTCCTCCTAAAACCTAGTGTATATCTACCTTATTATTTGAACTCCGATCTTTGAGCGTAGTTCTTCAAATTTCACCCGCGCCAGGGACATGGTGAAGATGTCTCCAAGTTGTTCCTCTGTTCGGATGTAATCAATCTTGATGAGCCCTCGATCTGCACATTCTCGAATGTAGTGGAATCTGATTTCTATGTGCTTGCTCCGTTAGTGCAAAACTGGATTTTTGATCAGGGAGATCGTAGCTTTGTTGTCTACGTATAGCATTAGTGGATCACTTTCTCTCCCGATGAGTTCTTCCATTAGTCGCGCAAGCCAGATCCCTTGTGTTGCTGCCATTGAAGCGGCGATGTATTCTGCTTCGCAAGAAGACAAAGCAACTACCTTTTGTTTTGTTTATTGTCAGCAGATTGCGCCGCCTGAGAGAAAGTAGATCATCCCGCTAGTGCTCTTACGATCATCAACGTCATCGGCCATGTCACTATCACTGTAGCCGACCAGCTTGAGTTTCTCCTTTCCGCTCCCTGCGCAGTATCCTACACCCCAACCTCTGGTTTCGGCTACATAGTGCAGGATGCGCTTGACAGCCACTAGATGCTCCTCCCTAGGTGCTTCCATAAACCGGCTCACATATCCAACAGAATAAGCAAGATCAGGACGAGAGTTTACCAGATAGCGCAGACTCCCGACAATCTGCGGTAATTGGTGGAGTCGACTGTCGTCGTAGTGCCGGCCTTCCTTAGTTAGAGTCGGGCCTCCATTGGCGTCCTTGTAGGATTACTGTCCACAAGTCCAGTTGTGTCAAGTAGCTTCTTCGCGTATGCACTTTGGTAGATGGAGATGCCGGTAGAATTCTGTTGCACTTCTATGCCGAGATAGTAGCTGAGCACGTCGAGATCGCTCATCTCGAAGTTTTTCGACATCTCCTTCTTGAACCTTCTAAGGACTTCCCCGTCACCTCCAGTGATTATGAGGTCGTCGACGTAAACTACCATGATCAGTCGCTTCTTGCCATGGCCGTGCATGTACATGCCATGCTCAGAAGTGCAACGTTTGAATTTCAGTGACAGTAAGGTACTGTCGAGCTTTGGGTTCCAGGCTCGTGGAGCTTGTCGAAGCCCGTAGAGTGCCTTGTGCAGGCGCAGTACTTTATTGGGGTTGTCGTTGTCCAGGAAGCCAGGTGATTGTCAGATATAGACGGTCTCCTCAACTCTCCGTTAAGGAAAGCAGACTTTACGTCCATATGGTGAACCTCCCAAGAGTAATGTGCCGTAATTGCCAGCAAGAAACGAACGGATTCTAACCTTGCCACTGGCGCAAATACCTCTTCAAAGTCCACTCCTTGCTTCTGGACGTAGCCCTTCGCCACCAGACGGGCCTTGTGCTTCACAACTTCTCCTTTTTCTTTGCGCTTCAGTTTGAAGACCCATTTGAGCCCTATGGCTTGGTGTCCCGGCGGTATATCCTCCAGACTCCATGTCTGGTTCTCGGTGATGGATGTCATCTCCTCCTGCATTGCCTTCAGCCAGCACGGGTTCTTTTCTACTTCGACGAAGGTGTTCGGTTCATCTGCACTGATGGCATGTAGTTCGGCCATTTCTTTGAGTTTGTGCGCTGCCAGTCCAGGTGGTTCACCTCCTCCTACTAGGTCGTCCATCCTTCGGTACCTGGCCTCCAGATCAGTATCGTGATCGGCATCCAGCGTCGAATCCGCAGTCCGTGGTGTTGTAAATTCTACTGGTTCAGGGGTTGCACCTGCTGGCGGCGGTGACGGCTGCTGATGCTGGGCTCCTCCTTCTTCCGACTCGGTGATGAGGTACTTCACCATGAATTTATTTGGATTATGGTCTGCCTCGATCACGTCATTCCACTGCTTAGACAGTGCTTTCGTCGAAGACGACGTCGGGAGACACGTGAGCTCTCCCCCCTACAGGATCATATAGTTTGTACGCCTTGCTCCCGAGTTCATAGCCGATGAAGACGTCCTTTAGCCCCCTAGGAGAGAGCTTGGCGAGGTGGGAATGTGTTACCTTCATGTATGCGACGCAGCCGAACACGCGAAAATGATGTACCGCTGGTTTTTTGTTGTACCAGGCCTCATATGACGTCTTCCCGTCAAGGCTTCGGGTTGGTGACCGATTGAGGAGATAGACGGCCGTCATTACTACCTCTCCCCAGAATCTCCCAGGCATCCCCGGCCGTCACCAACAATGACCTCGCTGTCCCGACGATGGTCTGATTTTGGCGCTCCACCACTCCGTTCTGTTAGGGGGAGTAGGGCGCCGTTAGGTGCCGTTGTATGCCGATCTCGTCACAGTACTTACCGAAACTTGCCGAGGTGAACTCTCCGCCTCGGTCTGTGATCAGCACTCGCATCTTCTTCTTACATTCGGCCTCCGCTCGCGCTTTAATGCACTTAACCGCCTCTGACGCCTCACTTTTCATTTGCAGCAGGGTCAGTGACTAACAAGAGGAAGAGACTCTTATCGCCTGGGGTCGCCGGCTTGACGGGCCCGCAGATATCGCCGTGTACAAGCTCCAACGGCTCATCGGCTCGGTAGGATGTTCAAGACGGAAAGGGTGTGCGCCTCTGTTTTCCGATGAGGCACCCGTCGCACAGCTTGTTCACGCCTTTGATTGTTGGCAAACCGTGCACCAACTCCTCCTTCTGTAGCTTTTCTAGAGCAGGAAAGTTTAAGTGCCCGTACCTTGCGTGCCACCTCCAAGATACCTCTTCGATCTTGGTCGAGAGACTGACGAGTTGTTCTATCTCTAACTCCAGGATGTAAAGACGGTTTGTCCGTCGTTGATCATCGCAGATTTTGAGTAGTGTGATGAAGTAGACGTCGCTCGGTAGTCGAGTTGACCTAGGCTCACAAGGTTAAGAAATTATTCCATCGAACATATTCTCCCCCGGATGCAGGAATAGCGACATGGATTAAATGGCCTGTCCAAGCCAAGGAACTTACTCCGAATAGTCCTGACAAATGATGATTGAGACGAGATTCGGCATTTTTAAACCACGAAACGCTCAGTTTCCATTTCGGTTGTAGGTGTAACCAACCCGCTATTAAAGATATGGCAGAAAGAAATAATAGAAAAAGAGCTCCCGTACAAAAATCCCCATTAGTACGTAAACCGATTGTATACCACCACTGATAATAGAAAAAGAGCTCCCGTACAAAAATCCCCATTAGTACGTAAACCGATTGTATACCACCACTGATAAACACTAGAATAAGCAATATTTACTAGGCCAAGAGCACCCCCTCGAGTAAAAGCTTCGACGGCCGGTTGACCAAAATGAGGATCCCAAATTGCATGAGCAATAGGTCTCACATGTAAAGGGTCTTGTACCCATGCTTCAAAATTGCCTTGCCAAGCTACATGAAGGAGATTTCCGGAAGTCCACAGAAAAATTATTGCTAATTGCCCGAAATGCGAAGCAAAAATATTCTGATAAAGACGTTCTTCAGTAATATCATCATGACTTTCGAAGTCATGCGCGGTAGCAATACCAAATCAAATACGACGAGTAGTGGGGTCCTGAGCTAAGCCTTGGCTAAACCTTGGAAATCTTAGTGCCATAATGCCTTTCAAATCCTCTTAGCCATTATCCAACTGAAATAATTCTTGCTAAGAAGAACACCTATGTTGTGGCAATTCCACCCAGAAGGTAATGAGTTACTCCTTCAGCACGTCCTTGGACAATGCTCAAGGCTCTAGGCTGAGTAGCAGGAGCAACTTTTAATTTATTATGAGCCCAAATGATGGATTCAATAAGTTCTTGCCAATAACCACGCCTGCTGAATAGAAACATTAAACTAAAAGCCCATGCAAAATGAGCCCCTAGAAAAATCAGGCCATATGCAGATAATGAAGAACCATAAGACTGAATTACCTGGGATGCCTGT